TGGGGGGTGGGTGTGGGGGTTGGGTAGCGCCGCGCGGAGGCCCAGAGCGGGCGGGGAGAAAGCGGACGGCCGCGGAGGGCCCTCCGAGCGAGGCGGGAGGAGGGAAGGGGAAGAGATAAGCCCGGTGGCGGAGAGGAGGGCAGGGCAGGGCCGGGCCCCGCCGCGGCGGGCCGGGCCTACTCGCACTCACCGGACCCCGCGCCGCCCGCGGCCTCCTCAGCAGCCAGGCGCCTCCACCTCCCTCCTCCTCCTCCTCCTCACGCACTTCCGCTTCGCGCCCGCCCGCCGCCCGCCCGCGGGGGCTGCCGGGAACCGCAGTCCGGCCCCCCCGCCGCGCTCATTGGCTGGCGGCGACGGGCGGACTACAACTCCCAGCGGGCACCGCGCAGGGGTGTTACATCATTTCCGTCTCCTCCCCTTCCCGCCCCTGGCGCCACGGAGAGGGCGAGGCTTCCGGTGGGGAGGGGTGGGGCTACGGGGTCTGGGCGGAAAATGGCGGCGGCGACCTTCGCTGGGCCATGGCGCAGGCCGCCCCCCGTCCGTCCCCGGTGTGTGCCGAGCCTTCTCCCGCACTGCCCGGCGCTTCCCCCGCCCAGGGAGGGGAGCGAGGCCGCAGAGCAGCCGGTCGCTGGAGGGTCCCCCCCCCGGCCGCCCCTTCCCACCCGGGCCCTGGCAGCGTAGGCCGCGGCCCTGAGGAGGCGGAGGCCCCGGGCTCCCCGCGCCTGGCGGTGGCTGCCGGGTTCTTTCCACCAGCCCTGGGCCGGTTGCAGCTCCCAAGGGCCCAGCTGCCGGCCACCGGCTCGGGGGGGGTGCAGGGGCCTGCTGGTGTGTGGGGAGGGCGGCCAGGATGAGCCGGCCGCGTCCCCGGCAGGGAGAAGGGAGCTGAGAGCCGACAGAGCAAACAGTGCTGGGGGGGCTCCAGGGGCGAGCCCTGAAACTGGGGGTAAACCAACCCCACTGCTGCCAGGGGGGCCAGGAGAGCTGCCAGCCCCGTGGAGCACTGAGGCACAGCCGCCTGCCCACCGGCAGTGTGGTTCCCATCCCCCCCGGGGAAACGGCGAGGCAAGGCAAGGGCAGTTGTCCACTTTTATTGTTCGCAAAGGTTGTCTGGATGCATAACATGGTCACAACGGCACGGAGAGCAACGTGGCGCCGGCCGGGCCCCGGGCCACGCAGACATGCGTGGGGACGGGGAGCGACCTCCCCCTGGCCGGGCTGCTGCCCTTCTCCCTGTGAGCCCCGGGCAGCCCCGAATCCTCCCGCCCCACGCAGGGCCGGGCCAGGCGAGCGTCCCCGATGTCTGGCCGAGCTCTATTTACAGTATTCACATACATTGTACCCAGCAAGTTAAATAACTACATTATTACACCACACGTCTGGGGCGGCTCTGGCAGGCTGCTAGGGTGGGGGTGTCAGTCTGATAAGGTGCATATTTAAAAAAAAAAAAAAAACGAAATAAAAACAAGAACGAAGAGAGAAACCAGGCGTCCCCGCAGCAGGCAGGGGGCCAGCGGCCGCCTCGCCGAGGTCCCACACCGCCCGGGGCCCCCACGGCAGGGCCAGGCACGCATGGCGGGCGGGGGGGAGCAGCGAGGTTTTTCTTCTGACAACAGCTACGGTTCTGCGCGGGCGTCCGGAGTCGGGACGTGTGCGGTGACCGCCGTGGGGACGTCTGCCAGGGCCAGGCCCTCACAGCACCTCTGCGGGAGGAGGGAGGGTGCGGCGGTGAGACCAGGCAGCCACGGCATTGCCCTGGCCCCCCTGCACACCCCCTCCCATCTCTCACCTGTCACCTGGGGGGGCTTGACCACGGCCTGCTTGAGGAAGGGCTCCTTGTCGCCGAAGGGGATGATGCTGCCAGGGCTGCTGCCGTGGTGGGAGAGCTCCAGCAGCTCCTGCGACCCCTCAGTGCCTGAGAAGCCGTTCTCATGCTTGCCGGGCTGCACGCCGTTCACCAGGGATGCTGGGGATGCCACCTCCTTGGCTGGGGAGCTGTGGGGTGGGAGGGCTGGGGTCAGCCACGTCCCCGCCACCCTCTGGTCCCCCCATCCACCCCTGTGCTCACCTTGGCTGCAGCTCCTCACCCGCCAGGCCCTTCAGACCCCCCGGAGTCCCCGTGCTCGGCGTCTTCATCTCAGGGAGTTCCTCCTCCTTCGGCATCGGCCCTGCATGCTTCTCGCGGCCTGGGGACAGCAGCAGAGCCCCTGCTCAGCCATGACCCCAGGCAGGAGCATGGCTGGCGGGGAGCAGGATGGGGTTGTGGCTCTGCGGACCCTGGGCACCCCAGAGGTGCAGCAGGCTGTGGGAAGGGGCCACGCACCTAGGACATCCTCCTGCTCGGCCACTTTCCCGTTCACCACCTTCTTGTCCTCCTTCTTCTACAGGGAGAGGAGAGCCGTGAGGGGCAGTGGCAGCTCCAGGCAGGGGGGCTCTGCAGAGTCCCCCATGTCCCCAGGCGCCTCGGGACAGAGGACAGGCACCCACCTTGGCATCCGCTGCATCCGACTTGCGCGTCCTTTTCATGATCTCTTCCAGGCGCTGCAGGACAGAGAGGGGTGGCTTGTGCACAGCCCTCGCCAGCAGGACCTGCCCTGGGTGCTGGGCAGGAGCCCTTGCAGGGGAAGCCCCTGCCATGCCACTTGCCCAGGGGTGTCCCCAGCCCTCACCTTCTTCCTCTCCAGCCGCTCCTGCTCCTCGCGCTGGAAGTGCTTCTCCCGCTCCAGGCGCTGCCGCTCAGCCTCTTCACGCGCCCTCGCCTCGGCCTCTTCCCTCTGCGGCACAGCAGGGTGGCAGGGATGGATGAGACAGGGCAGGTACGGATGGATTGGGGCAGGGACAGTGGGGACAGGCTGCCCGGGCAGCTCAGCACAGCCCTGCCCCACATTCCCTCCCACCACCCTGGGCATCGAGGGGCTGGGCTGGTCCTCGCCCCTGCATCCCGCTGGGGTAGGAACCACAAGAGATCATCCATGCCTTCCCCCTCCATCCCTACCTTCATCCCTCATCCCACCTCTTCCTCCCCTGCCCCCTCCACCCTGTCTCCCCTGCGGCCCCTTGCCCCCGCACCCCGCCAGCCCAGACCTGTCTCTGCAGCCGCTCCATCTCCTCCCGCTCGGCCCGTGCTCTCTCCTGGGCCTCTCGTTCCTCCTGCAGCCGCCGTTCCTCCTCCTGCTGGCGTGCCAGGGCCTCTCTGCGGGTCTGCTCCTCCGCTGCCTGCTGCACCTGCTCCTCCTGCAGCCGCCTGCAGGGAGGGGGCCCTCAGCAAGGTGGGGGACCAGGGCCGGGGGCCCGGGGGGGGGGGCCGCACCCACCTCTCCCGCTCCTCCTGCTCCCGGCGCTCACGCTCCTCACGCTCCCGCTGCTCACGCGCCTGGCGCCGCTTCTCTGCCAGCAGCCGGGCAGCCTCCTCCCGGTCCGTGGTGCCAGCTGGGGGTCTGCCTGGGGGGGTGGCTGGCACAGGGCTGGGGGCTGCAGGGGCCAGGGGGGCTGCAAGGTGCCCGCGGCGTCAGTGCTGCTCCCGTTCCCCCCAGCCCTGCTGCCCCCCAGCTACCCCGTACCCACCTGCTGTTGGCTCTGCGGGCACCTTGGGGGTCTCAGGGAGGGCTGGGGGGGCCGGGCTCCGCTCCTCCTCCTTCCTCTCGCGTGCCTTCGCCTGGCCCTCCTGCTCCCCCCGCTCCTCCCGGGCCCTGGCCCGCACCTTGGGAGAGGAGTGGGTGCTGCGGGGCAGGGGCGGCTTGTGGGGAGAGCCAAGGGCCGGGCTGGGGGATGCAGGACGGGCTTTGGGGGTGGCAGGGGATGAGGGACGGTTCTTGGGGCCGGGGCTGCAAAGAGAGCAAGAGACAGTGTTAGTGCAGCTGGGGCAGCCTGCGGGGCGGGGGGCCAAGCAGCCCCCACGGCGGCAGGTCCCTACCTGCTGTCCGCTGCGGGCAGGAGCCGGGGCTGTGCCGCTGGCAGCGACTGCCGCTTCTTGAGGCTGCGCTCGCGGGACAGGGCGCTGCGCTCCTTGGCGTTCTCCCGATCCTTCTCCTTCTTCTCCTTCTTCTTCTGCTCCAGCCGGGGAGAGACACAGGCAGCATCAGTGCAGGGTGCTCGGCTCGGCTGGGAGCCACACTGTACCCCACAGCTGCCCTGGCACCAAGGGGTCCCCACAGGAGGTGGCACTCACAGGCGAAGACTCGGTCCTGCGGCGCGGCGTCACGTCGGGGCTGCTGGTGGTCCCCTTCCGCCTCTCCCAGCAGCGGTGCTGCAGGCGGTGGTTGTGGCAGGGGCTGAGGGGGCTGGCAGAGGCCGAGCGGGGGCACACGGGCACTGGCAGTATGAGTGACCACACCGTCAGGACAGAGCCGGCACAGCACTGGCACCAGCTCTCCACTGGCTTCAGGCACCCTCGTCCCAGTCCACCATCAGGACCTGTGTGGCCCCATGCCCCTCCCCAGGTGCTCACCCTGCTCTTTGCCGTTCCCGGCCAGCGTCACGGCGCTCCGGCTGCGCGCAAGGAAGGACAGGGTGGGCGTCATCAGCCGGTCCACGATGCTGCTCTCCCATGGGCTCAGCTGCAAGCTGCGGTCTGGGGAGGGAGAGGGGCCCTTAGCACACCCCTGAGCCCCCAGGCACCAGGCCCGGCCCCCAGCCCCACGGCCGCCTGCCAGGAGAGAGCAGCCACGTGGTTGCGGCAAGGCCAGGGCACGTGTGTGGCCCTGGGAGTGCCCAAAGCTCAGCCGCCTTGGGGAGGGGTCCCCTCTGGCCGGCTGAGCAGGACGAGGGGCCATGCAGGCACAGGCATGGGTGGGTGGCTGGGCACCAATGGGATGGTGCTAAGGCACGACGATGACGCTGTCCCCGTGCCCCGCAGACACCCCGGCCACCGTGCACCTACAGCGAGCGGTACTGGCAGCACCAGGGTGCAACCCTGCTAACAGCAGCCCCCTCCACTCCGGCTCTCTCCTTGTGCCCGGCGCTGGCATGCACCCTCCCTGTGCCCCTGTCCTGGTGCAATCGAGCCCCCAGGACTCTGCAGCTGCCACAGGGACACCGCAGCATGTCCTCACCCCAAGGGAGCTGTGCCAAAGTCACCGAGCATGCCCGCGGGAGCCAGGCCAGGCTCATGGCACCCAAGGAACAGCGGTCCCCGGCCACGCTGCTGGCTCAGCTGGGCACGGGGCTGCCCCTGGCTGCCCTCCAGTGCACATTGCCAGCACCGAACACCCCACAGGCGCACAGAAAGCACCCACAGAGACAGGGCCCCTCTGCCCTGTTCCACCGGAGCCCCCGGTCAGGCCAGGAGCAGCACCCGCTGCCAGGAGGGGAGAAAACAGAGCCACGGGTGCAGCAGAGGGGACAGGGCGCCAGGTTTGGCACCATCCCAGGGAGATGCTGCTCCCACCCGGGCAGTGCCGAAAGCCCCTGGGTGCCTCTCCCCAGGCTGAGCCCCCAGTGTGGGGCCGGCGGGAGCCGCCTGCGTCACCACCGCCAGCAGCCGCCCGCGTCAGCTGCTCTGGCTATTTATACCCGGCTGGGAAGGCGCACACCCATCGCCAGGCAACCCTGAAACACAACAGCAGCTCCGGCGCTGGACACATCCCTCCGGCGCAGCCAGCAGCCTCGGGCAGCTCGCCCAGGGCCAGGACGACCTCGCAGCACCCGATGCAGCACCGTGCCCACAGCGCTCCATGGCACCCAGCCCCGAGGGCCTGTGGGGACAGGCATCGCGGCAGCGGGCACCAGCGCCATGCCCAGCCCTGAGGACCGTCCGGTGACAGGCAGCCCCGCTCTGCGGCTGCGTATGCACCCACCAGAGCTGCCCTGGGGCAGGGAGCCAGAGTTCCCGGTCCCTTTCCTGGCACCCTGTGGGGCTGCCACCACCCAGCCACTCATCCTCCTCCTCCTCCTCCCAGCCTGCACGCAGCCTCAAGGAACCGCCGGCCGGCTCCAGCCTCCTCCCGCAAACAGCAAACGGCTTCTCCTCTCTCCCCAGGCACCGTGCTGCAAGGCAGGGCCTGGGGACGGGGGACCCTGGCCTCGGGGGACCCCAGCGCTGGGCAGGGGGCTAGGCTGTGCCCCCTGCGCTGGGGCAAACACAAAGGGCTCTTACTTCTACTGGGAGAGTTCCAGAGGGTGGCAGAGGATTTGGAGAGCCGCTTGTTGATTATAGAGTCGACGTGTTTGGGGAGGTTTACAGCGGACACCGAGCACCGGCTCGCACCTGGAGGAGGGAAAAGACACAAGGGCATTAAGGTCCCGGGGATGGGGACAGGCCCCCCACATGCAGCATGCACGGCCGTGCCGGGGCACTGGGGCGGGAGCAGGAGGATGCGGCACAGAGAGTGGGGCCAGGAGATGCTGGTGTCTGGGGACACGACAAACGGCGCTGGCATCCGGCACGGCACGGTGCCCGAGCCCCAGAGGGTCATGCTGGGATCATGCAGGGATCTCATCCTCCGGGAGCCAGGGTGGCTCCTGGGCGCCGCCACACCAGTCTCCCCAAAAGCAGTCCTGAGAACCAGGAGCCAGGTGGCCAGGGACCTCGGCAGCACCAGGCGAGCAGCCAGCCCAGTGGAGCAGGTTGAGGGCAGCAGGTCCAGACAGACATGGGACAACGCTCACACCGGTGCTGGGTCACTGTGACAGTGCCAGGAGGGTGCTGGTGGCTGGCAGCACCTCCACAGGGTGCTGGGATCCCTCTGCCCTGGCCGGGCTCCTCTGGAGAAAACGGCCAGGGGAGCTCGCTGCTGGTGGAGGCAGCAGCCAGGAGATGGGCGAGTGAGAGCGCTGGCAGAAGCTCCGGCAGCACGTCCCCACGAGAAGTGGCAGGGGAAGGTGTCCCCTTGCCGGACCCGGCCAGGTGCTGCACCGTGGACACAAGGGTCTGTCCCTGAGTGTGCCACGAGCCACAGCCAGATGCACGGCACCTGTACGCATAGCCTGGACAGGCGTAACCAGAACATGGCGCCTGTACACAGCCCGGCCAGGCACAGCCGGGCACACAGCGCTGGTACACACACGGTGCCAGGCACGTGGTGCCGGTGCACACAGGCTGGCACACAACACCTGTACACACAGCCCGGCCAGGCACAGCCAGGGCTGCCACAGCCGCCCCATGGCACAACCGGGGTAGACAGACCCCAGGGTCACAGCGCTCCCCTCTATGCCATCAGACACGCCAGGCAGTGCCAGCACCCACCAGTGCAGCCCTGTCCCCTTGGCGGTCAGCGGACAGAGGAGACCTCCACATGCCCAACCATGGTGCCAAACTCTGTGGGGTGTCCCCAAGGAGCCCCCAGGGAGAGGGCCCAGCTGGGCTCAGCGCTCCAGTTGTGGGGCAGTGGGCACGGCTGAGCCTCCAGCAGACGCCACAGGAGCACAGCACGGCGGCGCGGCAAGGTGCGGCATGGCCACGCACACCCAGGAGTACACACAGACATGGTCACCCCCACGCTGGAGCTGGAGGAGCCGAGCACTGCCCCCACCCAGCCGGGGGACAAGGGAACACACCACAGCACAGACCCCAATGAGAGACAGCGATGGCCTCGCACAGCTCCGCAACCCACGCGTGACTCCTCCCGGCTGCTGGAGACCCGGGCAGCGTGGCCACGGCATCCCCACAAGCAACCTGGGCTGTCCCCAAGAATGCCCCTGCGCAGAACGGTGACCGTGAAGCACAACCTCCAGCTTACGCCCAGCCCCATGATTGCTGGGAAAAGCCAAGGGACCCCATCGGGGCCCAGCACAGCCTGGCACAGCCCAGGGCGACGGCAGCATGACCCCACAGCAGAATGAGGCTGAGCTGGGTTTGCGGAGTCTCACCCGCCTTCCACAGAGCACAGCAGAGCCGTGCCCAGCCGCCCCCACCGCTGGCAGAGCCGCAGGGCCATGGGTGCCCTCGCCCAGCCCACCACTCACCATCCTTGTGCGCAGGGGAGCCGTGGTGCAGGGCCCCAGCCCAGGACCACCGCTGCTGCCGGATCTCTGCCCACGTCTTCTTGGCCGACCGCTGGATCGCTGCCTCGTAGCGCTCCTGCCCGAGGGAGAGGGACAGGGTGAGGCTGGCAGCTGGGGGAACAGGACTGGGACCCACCGGAGCCTCCCGGCGTGAGGCTATCGCAGCAATGGGGACGCTTGGAGGGAGACGGGCCAGTGACACCCACCCTGGCCAGCGCACGTGTGCCCGAGGAGCCAGGCACCGCAGAGGCTCTGCGCCATGAAGGATGGGCACCGCGGAGGACGGGCATGGTGGGCAGTTCCCGAAGGGCTGCTGGAGCCACAGGGTCTCCCCAGGGAGCACGTCCCCGGCGTGCTGCCCCGGCCCCCCACCCATGATCATCCCCACCTTGTTCTTCTCGAGCTTCTGCCTCTGCCGCTCCTCCAGGATGGCGCGGCGCTTCTCCGCCTTCAGCCGCTGCTCCTCCAGGCGCTTGCGGCGTTCCTCCAGCTGCTTCTCCCGCAGCAGCCTGGCCTTCTCCTCCTTCTCCAGCCACAGCACCCGCTTGGCGGCTGCGGGAGGGAACCGGGGCAGCGGGGTCGCACCCGAGACACAGCCCCAGCCCCGGCAAACCCCGCGGTCGGGACGCG